TGTGAGAGCTCACAGATTCTATGATTCCTAGGCCAACAATGGGATCTGTTTTCTGCGCTTTGATGACACCAACCCTGAGAAGGAGGAAGCAAAGTTCTTCACTGCCATCTGCGACATGGTGTCTTGGCTGGGTATGGGCTGGGCAAGGGCTGGGAAGAAAGACCTGGTGGTCAGTGGGCCTCTCCTTGGGCTATGGCTTGCCATTGGGTGTCCCTGGCTAGTTGCTCATACCGTGCCTTTTTCTGCCCCAGGTTACACTCCTTACAAGGTTACATATGCCTCTGACTATTTTGACCAGCTGTATGTCTGGGCCGTGGAGCTCATCCATAGGTGAGGCTGGGGCTGTCATGTAGAGCCAGGCAAGCTGCCCAGGACATAGCCATCCTGGGCACTCATACCTCTTCCCCATAGGGGCCAGGCCTATGTGTGCCACCAGCGAGGAGAGGAGCTCAAAGGCCATAACTCGTTGCCCTCACCCTGGAGAGACCGTCCCATAGAGGAGTCACTGCTGCTCTTTGAGGTGGGGTTCTGGAGGGGCAGTTGGGTCTGGGTGGGTGCTGAGGAGGAGGTGCCCCTGTGCTGAGAGGCATTCTGAGCCCTTGCTCCTGTCAGGCAATGCGCAAGGGCAAGTTTGCGGAGGGTGAGGCCACGCTGCGCATGAAGTTGGTGATGGAGGATGGCAAGATGGACCCTGTGGCCTATCGAGTCAAGTATACACCACACCATCGCACGGGTGACACCTGGTGGGTGTGAGCATGGGGTGGGGCTGTGGATTTGTAGAGTGGGGTGGTGGGCCATGGGTATGGCACAGTGGGGCTGGATGGTGGGGCCTATTGTCTGTGCTCTGCAGGTGCATCTATCCAACCTATGACTACACACACTGCCTCTGTGACTCCATCGAGCACATCACCCACTCACTCTGCACCAAGGAATTCCAGGCCCGGTGAGGGAGCTGGGCCCATGGGGTGGGTAGGGCCAGTGGGATTCCAGCAGCCCTTCCTATGGTCTCTCTCTGGTCTGAGGTGGCCAGACCTGACTCTACTCTCCTACCTCAGACGCTCTTCCTACTTCTGGCTGTGCAATGCACTGGATGTCTATTGCCCTGTTCAGTGGGAGTACGGCCGTCTCAACCTTCACTATGCTGTTGTGTCTAAGAGGAAGATTCTCCAGCTTGTGGCAGCTTGTGCTGTGCGGTAGGCATGATTGTTTGCCTCACTGAAGGTTGGAAGTAACTAGTGGCATATACTGCCAAAGGCCTTCTTACCACCTCCTTGCCCACAGGGACTGGGACGACCCACGGCTCTTCACACTCACAGCCTTACGACGGCGGGGCTTTCCGCCTGAGGCCATCAACAACTTTTGTGCTCGGGTATAGCCCAGTGGGCTGTGTGGGCAGGTGGGGGCCGAGCAGAGCAGTTTGTGGCTGTGGCTGTGAGTGATGCTGATCTTTCCTGCTAGGTGGGGGTGACAGTGGCACAGACCACGATGGAACCCCATCTGTTAGAAGCCTGTGTGCGTGATGTGCTGAATGATACAGCCCCACGGGCTATGGCTGTGCTGGAGCCATTACAGGTCATCATCACCAACTTTCCTGCTACCAAGGTAGGTGTGCCTCTATGTGTGTGTGTTGGGGGGTGGTGCACCTGGGTCTGGGCATGGGGGTCCCAGTACCTAGTGTGACTCAGCCACCTATCTCCTGCTGTAGTCCTTAGACGTCCAGGTTCCCAACTTCCCAGCTGATGAGACCAAGGGCTTCCATCACGTTCCCTTTGGACCCATGGTCTTCATTGAAAGGACTGATTTCAAAGAAGTAAGTGGGGGGTGTGAAGGGTCCTGTTTGCTGCTGAGCCCTGTCCTGAGATCTCTTCATCTCTCCTGTCAGTTCACCTCCTTCCTACTTCAGGTGAACCAGCCCCTGCCAGAAATGGGGGGCGGTGGGGGGCTTCTGCCTTTTTGACCTGTGCAGTCTCTTGTGTCCACACCACTTCCTACCTCTAGGAGCCAGAGCCGGGCTATAAGCGCCTGGCATGGGGCCAGCCTGTGGGCCTGAGGCATACAGGCTACGTCATCGAGCTGCAGAATGTTTTCAAGGTGAGCGCGAGCTGCAGCCTTCCTACCTCAGTGCCTGCTGCGGAGAGGATCTGGGTGCGTGCAGCCTCCAGTTCTAGTAGTGGTCCCTGGGTCTAATTGTAGGCCGCTTGACTTCCAGGGCCCCACTGGCTGTGTAGAGAGCCTGGAAGTGACCTGTAGACAGGCGGATGCTGGAGAAAAGCCCAAGGCCTTTATTCACTGGGTGTCACAGCCTCTGACCTGTGAGATTCGCCTTTATGAGAGACTGTGAGTGAACAGAGCTGGGGTGCAGGCAGATACAAGATGGGCATTGCCTGCTGTGGCTACCCAGCTGGAGTCTTAACCTTCCTTCTGGCTGCAGATTTCAGCACAAGAACCCTGAGGATCCTGCTGAGGTGCCTGGTGGATTCTTAAGTGACGTGAACCCGGTAGGCTCGTGGGGTATAAAGTGAGGGTGGTGGGTCTCTCTGGCTGGATGGCCACCTGAATTCCCTGCCCACAGGCATCGCTACAAGTGGTGGAGGCAGCGTTAGTGGACTGCTCTGTGGCCCTGGCAAAGCCCTTTGACAAGTTCCAGTTTGAGCGGCTTGGCTACTTCTCTGTGGATCCAGACAGCTGCCAGGGACAGGTGCTTGAATTTACCTGCCTGCCCTTTGCACAACAGTGACAGTGGTGGATGCCATTTACTGTGCCAAGTGCTCTGCCAACATTCCCTTAGTTAATCCTTACCACCTGAGATGGGATTCATGTTTTACTGATGAGGAAACAGGTTCAGAGGTCCATGCACAAAATTTTGTATGGACCCTGCCTTTCTTATGCCTCAAGGTGTAGGGGTCAGGCATGGTGGTTGTTACAATCCTTATAAAATGGAGGCCCAGAGCCATCCAGTCCTCTACCCAAAGTCATAGTTATTGAGAACCCGAGTGTCCTGACCCTCAGCTCCTCTGGGATGAGGTGAGGGTAGGGTCTGGTGAGGTCTGGGCCTCCTAGCCTGGTTCTGGCTTGGTCGTCATTCTTCCCCATCTGCCATCCAGCTTGTCTTCAACCGGACTGTCACACTGAAGGAGGACCCAGGAAAGGTGTGAGCTGTAAGGAAGCCCCGTGGAACTACCTCATGCTTCTGGAGGCTAGGGGTACCCAGACTCCATATCAATAAAGAACAGCTAAATCCCCTGGAGTCTGTGTGTTATCTGTCTGCACTTCCAGCTCCTGAGGACCTTAGAGACTTGCTGGGGTAGGAGGAGGTGCACTGCACACAGAACAGTACTGACATCTTTGAAACCACTGGTGCACTTCTTAGTGCTCTAGCGCAGGGACCTGGGCCTGATTCGAAATCCTCTGTACCTGGTCTGGGGGGGCTGGCAGGCTCTGGGTGCTGGTCCACTGTTAGCAACCTTGTGCTAGAGGGATCTGGAGGGTTTGTGTTTGCCTGTGTGCCTAGGTAGATGAAAACAGACCTGGTTCTCAGTCCAATCATTCAGCAAATAATTATCAAGTGCCTACCCCGTACCAGGCACAATGAGAAGAGGAAGACTTGTGTGGTGGCCTAAGTTGACCGTCTAGTTGGGCAGACAGAGGGTGACCAGGCACTGTGCAAGAGAGGTCTCCCTGGGGCCTGTGCAAGGCGGGAGGAAGTTCCTGACGAATCCTGTGCCTCAGACTACTCTCAGGAGGTGACTCCTTAGGGAACCCCTAAGGACCAAGGCGATGTTTGCCAGGGCAGGAGGAAAAAGTGCAAAGGCCCTGATGCCCTTTAAAAAAAAAGTCTATAGCCAACTGGTTGCCCTCTGGGGCAGTGTGGGCTACTCGCGTGTGCCTGCAGCTTTAACACCCTCCACATTTTCCCTGTATACAAACACCAGGCTACTAGAGGCCCGCTTTAAGGTGGACTGGGTTGCGGAAGGCTGCATTAGGACGACGGCGGATTGAGGAGGGGGTTCCCAAATGTTAAGGACTCCTGCACCAGAGGGACTCCGGGCTTCCCAGGTGGGACGATGGTATGGGGGCGCAGAGCCTAGGTCAGGGGCTGTGGGGGCTACCTTAAGCAAGAGACGGGGCCCCGCCCCACGTGGGGCTACGCGACTGAAGGAGGCCCAGGCACGCTGCAGAAGGGTCCAGAGAGCAAGCTTGGAGCCCCAACCCGCCCAGGCTCCAACTCGAAAGGCCGAACTCCGGCCCTGACTCCGCCCAGCATGGAGGGGCGTCCGAAGGCGGGGCGCTCCGCCCTACACCCCTGGCTCTACTCGCCGTTTCTGCAGCCGGAGGCCCGGCCTCTCGTCTGGGCAGAAGCGTTCCCTTTAAGGTTGGCCAGGAGGCAGTCTCAATTCTCGCGGGATCCGACGCTTCGGTTATCGCGAGAGGAGCATTCGGCACCCATTGGCTGTGAGGGTTGAATGTAAGATGGCGCCCAGGGAGCTGTGAGGGGAAAATCCTGTCGGTCTTGGAGCGGCGACGGCGGAACCGGGGCCCCGAGCGGTGCGGCGGGGCCGGCGGGTAGAGCGGCGGCGGCGGCGACAACGACGTCGCCGGGTGAGGGCTGCAGTGGGGACAGGGATGCGGCGAACCTGCGGGCCTGAGACAGCGGGCCCACCCCACACAACGGCGGGCGGGGGCGGGCGGGCGGGCCGCTGCCGCTGGGCCCAGGAGACCTCGGGGCGGCTCCGGAGCGGAGAATGTCCCTGGGCTCGCGCGCCCCCGCCCCTTGTGGGGTGGGGAGAGGCAGGTCGGGGACTCGGGTGGGCGCGGCGCGCGAACGCGCCCTGGTGCTCGCGCACGGCCGGGCCTGTTTATACGCGGGCGCGCGCGCGCTGTGCGGCCCTTGGGGCGCGCGTGGCCGCCGACGTGCGCGTTCCCGGTTAGGATATCTCCGCTCCTGGTGCTGCGGCTCTTGGGCAAGAGCGGCTTTTTGTGGCGCGCGCCCGCCCGCGACCCCCGGCTTCGGGGCGCGCGCCCTGCTGTTGGGTGGCGGCGCCGCCGCCGCGAGGACGCGCAGGACACCTCTGCTGCGTGGAGCGGCGGCAAGCTGGCGGGCGGCTCGCCGTGTGAGGAAGGTTGTGGGTTGGGCCCTTCCTGCTCTGGTGACGTCCCCGGACCGTCGTGGCCTAGGCCTGGGGAGAAACCAACCGGCTTTGCCGTCTGACTGGAGGCTCCGCTCTTCTGCGAGGCGGGCGAGATTGCTCGTTCTTCTCGAAGAATGCAGTGACCTGAGGCCAATGTGCGGGGAGGGTGCTGCCCTGTTTCTGAAACTGAGCCCTGTAGGTCTGTGAGGGCAGCGAGCCCCCTCGAGTTTCCTCACCTTGTTCTGGTGCTTTGTGCTGGAGAGGGAAGGTTAATCCTGGAAGGCTCTTCAGCGGTACCTGCTTTCTTGTCATTGTAAAGTAATTCTTGCATAAGCGCAATTCCTACACGTCACCTCTGTGCGCTCCGGAAGGGGATCCTCTTCTGTGGTCGTGAAACTACCCGAGCTTTAAAATTCCACTTCAAATCCTTAAATGCAGCCTTTTCTTCTGGGCGGGTGGGAGGGGCTTATTTGTATTCTGTTAGACTAAGGAAGACCCGCTATCGATCAGCCAAAAAGTTGCCGAGAACAAAATTAAACAACCTGAGAAATCTGTGCTTTGCCTTCTTTTATAATTACAAAATTCCCCAACAGAAATTTCTAAAATCTGTTCATATATCACTGCAGAAGTCACTTTTGATGTAGAATTTCAATTCTTTTCAGATTTTTTGTTGTTCTGGTACTAGGGGAGTTCTAGGTTTGTCCTAGAGAAATATGCACTTCTTTTTTCAAAGACAAGACATCAGACTGTTTTACAGTCTTGCTTAATTAACTTGAAGGAAAAAGCTAAGAGGAAGTAAAATTAGCAACCACATTTAATAATGATGGGGGTAGTTCTTTTAATATACTGTATTTTAACAACAAAGTTAAAATTTAAAAAGAGGCTTAGGATGGAAAGGACTTCTTTGTTCTATCTTCTTCAGAATGTTACAAGTCTTAAGAACTCAGGACAAGCAGCAGAAATACATGCAACATGGTGACTGGTGAGTTAAAATCATTCATATGCTGGAAATATGTGTGCAGTCTTTTTCCTCGTAGTATTGAAACATTACAAATCCTGCCAATCATTCTGGGTGCTGTCTGACAGAAACTACTAAGTGCTGGGAAATTGAAGATGTGGGAGAACTGCATCTTTGAATCCAGCCACAGTTTGCTGCTTGAACACTTTTCTTCTCTTGAAATGTAAGTCAATGCAACTTTCAGGTTTTAGCATTAGGACACATCAGCTTTTCTAAGGTCCTTAAATGGTTCAAAGAAAAGCAGTAAAGTTTGAGATAGGCTTAACATTTTAATATACTTTTAGGCCTGCTTATTCTGGGGTATCTTTGTTTGCAACTCTTAAGTTTGAGATCTGCCTTTTAAATTGGTGTTTGTAGATAATATTTTTTGTAAGCTCATTAACTTAGATTTATCTACTAGAAGGTGTCCTACTTCCAGCCCTCTGCGATGAATAATTTGTGTACCTTTTCATGAACCTTTGCTGTCCACATTCCCTTTCCAGGTTACATTGTTGCCATTTCGCACAAAAGATCAAATAGGGTTTCAAATTTCTTACAAATTTGAATTGCTCCCAAAAGGTAACCAAAGTCAGGGGCTCTAGGTATGGCTGTCTTCCATTATGACAGCTTCAGAATCAGGGATCTCTTCCTTAAAGCTTGCATGCTGTCTTTTAATTTAATCAGTTGTGGTTTGTCCTCTATGTGTCATGCTTCTTGCTTGTCTACTTTTTAAATGGCCACTCTTTATCTGTAGTCTTATATTTCTCAGCCTCAGAATGAGGTGTTAATATGAACACTTGTTCTTTTCTGTTACTTTGTACTTAGTTGCCCTGCATTTTGTTGCAGATGTTTTAAGTCCTCTCCAGGCTAAATGCTCCATTTGTCACACTGGATTGTGATTTCTGACTTTGGCTGCATGAACAAATGATAGATTAACCTCTTGCTTTGCTGAAAAGGGGGAAGGAATGAACCTTTGGTGTCACACTTGAGGCTAGAGTGAAATTGTAGGTAGAGCTGGTTGGCTGTGTCAGAAAGCTTTTGTTTTTTCTTTTTTGAAATATCTATCTGTAAATTCAGGTGGATCTGTATAAAATGTAATGAAAACTTAATTGTAATGAAAAGTAAATGAACCACTGTGTAACTACCACCTCCTCAAGAAGTAGAACAGTGCTAGCTAGCATCATTGCACCCTTCATTGGTCCCTTCCTAGTCATAGCTTCTCAACCACTAGAGATAATTTTCATTCTGACCTCTGTGACAATCGTATTTTTCTTTTTACTTTATCACCTTCATATCCTTCAGCAACATAAGTTTTGTTTGCTTTTGAGTTTTATGTAAACGGAATCACGCTGTATTTTATGTTTTCCTTCTTTTAGCATTACTAAATTCATCCATGTTGTGTGCTACTGTAGTTCATTCATTCCAGTTTCTTTGTAGTATTCAGCTATGTGACTATATCACAATTTACTTATTTCTTCTATTTTTTTAAAGTATTTTTTTAAAGATTTTATTTATTCATGAGAATAAATATTCTCACACTATTCATGAGAGACAGGGAGATAGAGGCAGAGGGAGAAGCAGGCTCCCAAGGAGCAGGGAGACTGATGTGGGACTCGATCCCAGGACCCTGGGATCATGACCTGAGCCGAAGGCAGATGCTTAACCATCTGAGCCACCCAGGTGCCCCTTTTTCTTCTACTATTGATAGACATCTAGTTTCCTTCCGGTTTGGACTGTTATTAACAGTACTTCTATGAACATTCTTGTATAAGTACCTTTCTGTTTGTGTGTGTCATACACACTTAGGGATAGAATTCCTGGGTTATATGGAGGGAATATTGTCAGCTTTACTAGTTAATGCAAATGGTTGTGCCAATTTACAGCCCATCAATCTTTGGTGGGAATGTGAATTTAAGATCCTGGTTGAAAGTGTGTTGTCCAAAAATAGAACCATGGCAGAAATGCCCCTAAATCAAGAGATTCCTCTGGTAAAGGCATGGGGGTAGATGAATGGTCCAATAGGATAATACCTATCACAAACCCTATATTGGTTTAGTATCTTTTAAGAATAGAAGCGTATCTCCCAATTTCCTTCTTTGAAATGATTCTTTATGTTAATTAGGACAAATGTGACTGCAACTCCTTAAAATAGAAATTGATTTCTTTTTTAATGTGAATGTGTTCTTCAAGCCAGACTTACAAAGCTATGAGGAGCCATCTGCACATAGAGTAGATGTGAACCGTGAGAGGGGCCCAGTAGCATGACTGGGTAAACAGGAAGAGGCAGGGCTCTGAGGCAGCTCAGAGTTTCTTCTTTTAGTCCATCTCATATTCAAGACCCACCTTGTGGAACTGCATGGGGAACTGGGAAGAGGTATCAGAAATTTGAGGCGACCCAAGATAGGATGATTCTGGTGAGTACTTAAGTCTTCCTTTAGTACCTAAATAGAAAAAAGAAAGAAACTGGCAAAGAGACCTATGAAAAAAAATGTAATAGATTGTTCCTTTAGAATAACCTTTGTCCATCATACCTTCTTGTGTTCTAGCTATAAAATAATAAAAGTAATAATAACTTTAATACATTGAGGGCCTAAATCTATGTCAGACACTGTGCTAAGCTCCAGTAGAAGGTACAGGGGAGATACTAGTGATTAATAGGTGTATACAAGTGAAAATTTCCTAGGTCTGTTGGTGTGGGGTTTGTCTATTGTTTTGCAAAGCAGCTATGCTTAAAAGTATTCAGAAGCAAATGCTTGTTTACAGACTCCCCTACCCCAATGAACCCCAAAGTGTTTTCCTGGCTCTTTTTGACTCCCAGAAATTGGGAGTATTCAACTATCCCTTCAGCTTCATGTTTTTCTGAAGTATTTTAATTAATTAGTTTATTTACTGCTCCTCACCAAGTCTTTGACTTGGAGCTAATTAAGAATCTTGCTTCTTTGGGGTGGGTAGAGAGTTTCTCTATTTCTCCATTACCAAGGCTCACCCTTGTGTTTCTTGAGAGCAGCATCTTGAAGAAGTTAACAATCTTCATTATTACGCAAGCTCTGGTGCTTGATGATTTTGTCTTTAAGAGTTTCAGATTTTGAGGGAAAAATCATGCTATGATCAGCCAGAACTGTTTGTGTCTTTACTATTACTGTGGTATAATCACTGTGTAAAAAGATTAATTTTTAATTATCTTTTTGATTTAATACAAATTGTGGAAAATACAGGAGAGTATTAAACAGGAAGAAATTTAAGTCCTGTGATTCTACCACCAAGGCATAACTACTGTTGGCAGGTCTTTTTGCGTTTTTTTTCCTTAGGCGTATAAACAATACTGGGATATATAAATACAATTGTATTGGTTCCCTTTTCACACATAACTTATTTGTGTTGTTAAATTTAAAAATTTAAATTAACTTTGTGTTGAGGGGACAAGGAATCTTCCAGAGACTAACATTTCTCTCTCTCTTTTTTTTTTTGCTACTGTGTTAATGGAAAGATCTGTAGAACACTCAGTAAATGCTTAGGAATGGACTTTCTTTATATGAATTTGGTATATGATAACAGTGGCATTTCAAGTCAGTGGGCAAAGGAATTTCAATAATTCAATAAATGATACAGGGACGAGTTGTTTGCTCTTTGGAAAAAATAAAATTAGACTTGTACCTCGCATTATGCAAAATAAATTTTAAATGGATCAAAGCATTGTATTAAAAAATTACACTGTACGTTAAAAAAAATAGGTGATTCACGACCTGATTTTATGGTAGGGAGGGCTTTTTCTGAGCATAAAAACAAAGGAAGAAACCATGATCACCACTATTGAGAATTTGCTTAATTTTTCTGTGTGTTTTTTTTTTTTTTTTTTTAACTCACTGGTCTAAAATATTTAAATATTATTTCTGAAGCTTTCCCTCCACCCTCCACCCCTTCTAAACAGCACTTTTGTGTCAGGTCAAATGCTGACTTAGTGTATTTTCATTATTGGGATGTGTCAGTCTGGTGGATACTGCCAAGTGAGCAGGTTAAAAGGACAAGAAATGAAGCCATGTGTGTTTTAGTCTGTATAAATGGGCACATTGGAATGTTCTTTCAAATTGGCCTTTTCCATTAAATTTTTATGTTCTCCAGGGGCGCCTGGCTGGCTCAGTCAGTAGAGCATGCAACTCTTGATCTCTCGGTTGTGAGTTTGGCCCCACCTTGGGTGTAGAGATTACTTAAAAATAAAATCTTAAAAAAATTTTTTTAGGTTCTCCATTGAGTCCATTATTGGTTAATATTTTTAGCTTCCTCTGATTCATTGGTTCTCAAAGGATTCTTTGGACTTGTACAGGCAGAGTCAATGGAGAACCTCCTAGGGGCTTAGTGAAAGAAAAAAAGCAATGGGAATTGGGAAGCTGTGGTTTCTGCTTGAAGCTCCACTGACTACAGTGGGCTCTAAGCTTGGAGCACTGCAGAGGGTTTTTATACTTTGTAGCCTAAACTGTTTAAAATACAAAAGGTGTCTTTATCATAGGATGTTTCAGATATTTCGCAAAGAAGAATAGGAAGAATATATGTTGAGGAGCCTTTATCAACATTTTCTAAGTTTTATAGAATTTTCCTTCTTCAAACTGTTGGTGTTTTGTTTTGTTTTAATGAAATCTTAAAGAATGAACTTTGAGACTTCATAGCAGATACATTCCCAAGTTTTTATTCCATTCTTTCTTTTTAAAATTTAATTTAATTAATTTTTTGAGTAGGCTCCATGGGGCCCAACATGAGGTTCGAACTCACGACCCTGAGATCTTGACCTGAGCTGAGATCAAGAGTTGGACACTTAACTGACCGAGCCACCCAGGCACCCCTTACTCCATTCTTTCTGAGAGCTGAATATGCATCTTATTTGTCCTTTTTGGAATAAATTTATAGTTGGACTAGAGTTTCTTACAGTGATTTGTCTTTTTTTTTTTTTTTTTAAAGATTTTATTTATTTATTCATGAGAGACAGAGGGAGAGAGAGAGAGAAGCGGAGGGAGAAGCAGGCTCCCAAGGAGCAGGGAGCCCGATGCGGGACTCGATCCCGCCGAAGGCAGACGCTTAACCATCTGAGCCACCCAGGCGCCCATGTCTTCTTTTTTTTTTTTTTTTTAAGATTTTTTAATTTATTTTCTGACAGAGAGACAGCAAGAGAGGGAACACAAGCAGGGGGAGAGAGGGAGAGACAAGTAGGCTTCCTGCAGAGCAGGGAGCCCGATACGGGGCTTGATCCCAGGACCCTGGGATCATGACCTGAGCCGAAGGCCAACGCTTAACGACTGAGCCACCCAGGTGCCCCCTTATAGTGATTTATCTTAAGATCCTATTCTAGAAATACAGGTAGCATTTGTTTGGAGCAGAATGGTTTTTATCACTTTGGAACCTTGGTTAAAAAAAAAGATAATAATGTCCTGAGTTTAGTTTGGTATGAAATGCTGTATTCTAAAATGCTGTAAACTATTGATTAATTAGAAGCTCTACTCCCTTCGCTAAAGACTTATGAAAAATAGAGGATGCAGGACTTTAGTTTCCTTATTTTACATAGTAGGAAGTTTAGAGATACTCTAAACTTAATAAGTCTACAAGAAGTTTAAAGCTATGAAAGTGATCATGGCAAAAATAACAATGTGACTGGCAGGGGTTGATGAGAGGAGGATGATTTAAATGGCCTAAACTTACCTTGGACAGGTCAGTGTTTAAAATTGGTAGATCAGGAAAGTATTCTTGTTTTTTTTGTGGATTTTTTAAAATTATTTTTCTGTACTATTTGAATATTTTTTCTTAGAAAATGGGTGTGTTACTTGTACTTTTCCCTCCACAACCAAAACAAAAACCAGAAAACTAGATTATAATTCTACCCTGAAAACTAAAGAAAAGTTGTTTCCAGAAAAAGAAGTTGTTGTGGTTTTCCTTTATATCTAATATCAGGCTTCAGATGAGGCTTAAGCTTCCTGATTACTGAAACTTGGAATAATGAGGGGAAATAAGTCACTAGGAAGATTTAGGGCCTGCCTTTATCAAACAACGTTTGTATGAAGGTTTTCTGATTCTGTAAACCTAATTTGTAACTTTTGGGCATATTTGTGTTTGTTTGTATTTATTTTCTCCCAGATTTGAGACAAAAAAAGGTTTTGCTACATGGTTCTCCATACTTTTTTAAAAAATTGCGTTGACACAGTAGCTATGATTCCAGTACAGTCTTCAGAATTCAAGCAGTCTCTCTGTATTTTATGGGAATGCAACTAATTGTTGAAGAAAATAAATATGGGGAAATGTAAGTTTCAGTTGACCTCTGCCATTCTTTTATAATGGAGGTGGAAAACTGAAATATGTAACAGCATGGTAGAGAACCAATTATGTTCATATATATCTCCTTTGTTCCTTTCTGAACCAGAACTGTAGGTGTGATTAGGTATTTAGAGTCAGTCACATGTCAGGCATTTTGTAATGTTGTTGGGGCTATATTATGAGAGCTGCCTTCTTCAGAAGGAAATTCCACTCAGTCATGATGCTCTTATCAGAGGGGAGATATGACACATTCTGTACCAGTGTAGTGAGTGAGTATAGGTCACCTACACTGGAATGTCCTTCTCTGAATAGGTAACAAAAGGATGAGGTGCTTGGCCTTGGTGGTGGTCTTACTCATTTGTGCCATGGACATCATTGAGAGCTTAATTTCGAAGTCTCATAACAGACCTCCTAATTTTCAACTCTGAGAAAAGATACCTGAATGCCCCAGCAGCAGAGAGAAGGGAGAACTGAGGAAGGGAGATGGTCAGAAGAGAAGTGAGAAAGGGACAGACGAGTTAATTTCAGATTAGAGGCTGTCAGCAAAGGCTTTAACCTTGCCCTCACCTGACCTGCACTTGCTGTTTTCTGCACTTTATTGTTCTTGGGGTTTCCTGAGAAATAGAGGCTCTCCTGAGAGTAGTGGCCTAGGATTTGATTTTAGGCAGGACAAAGTATATGTGTTGTTCTTTATTTATGGGGAAATATATTTAGAATATATTATATGCATCATTATAAAAGATGTATTGTTGGGTCTGTTCTCTTTGAAAGCGCCCAAATCTAACTTGTATAGTATACTTACAGTGTCCCACAGAAATGTTGCCAGTGTTAGTAACTTAATAGCAGTAAGGATCATATGTTTTCTTTGGTCTCACACTTGTCCTGGATATATAGTTTCTTTTCCCATGATATATACTAACCATTTACCAAGAAAAAGGGTAACATTTATGGTTGTAAGTTATAGATGTTACAGAGACAAAAGAGCTATAATCCTTCTTTTTTTATATCCAATTGCAAATACAACATACACATATATACATATACGTACCTACTGTGTGTCAGCCATTCAGAGAGTTTCGGGACACAGTCTTGTCTGCCAGGAGTTTAGAGTCAGGTGGAAGAGATGAGATGATTACCCATATGCCTTATGTCTGTAACATAAGGTAGAACATCTGGGCAGTGAAAGAGAGACTGGTATTTCTAGCCTTGATGCCCTTTTAGCCTTTCCTTGATGGCTCAAGGAAACAAATCACTTTTCCATTTGTGATTGACGGAGAGTCCTTTTTGGCAAAAAAGTTCACATGGTTTGTGTGACTCTCATATCCTGCTGCTGCTTTTGTTCTGGAGGTGGTTCTGATCCAGAGGGGAGGGAATGGTATGAAAGCAGCAGTGGCAGGGCACTCAGCAGTCCATAGATAGATTGCATGGTTGCCCCCCGGTAATTGAGAATTACTGTCTATCCCTGCAGGTTAATTCTTAGGATAAATACCACAATGAAAAACTTGCTGAATTGATTTCTGAATTTTAGTAGTGACCTAGTTAATTTAAAGCACTATTCAACTCCCTCCCCCAACTAATTTTAATAATATTAGTTAGTACTTAAATAGTGCTGTCTATGTTGGATGCTCTTCTAAGTACTTTACGTATGTTTAACCTTTATGTCAATTCTGTATGGTAGATATTCTTTTGTCCCCATTTTATACACAAGAGAACTAAGGTTAACTAACTTGTCCAGGGTTTCAGCGCTAAGGAGAGATCAAGCTGGGATTTGGACCCTGGCAGGCTAACTCCAAAATCCATGCTTTTGACCAGTAAGTTGTGCTATAAAACAATGTGAGCAGCATATGGCAAACGGATTTTTGGTGTTTCTGGTGGGAGATGAGGTATATATTCCCCTTCTCTAGGGTCTTGCTACAGCTAGATGGCATATGTGTTCTTCACTTTAGGACATCATTGGCCGCAGAAATTGAACATGTCAGTAGGAATCCCTGCTTCTAGCTTCCTTAGTAGTCCTCTCTGTGGTGGTCACAGAGTAGTTTTGCATGTGACTTTTACTGTCCAGTGCTTGGCTCTGCAGAGAAGATGGCATTGACCTAGTGCTGGGTGGAGAGTGTGTTTTCAGCCTGTTTCATCCAGTACTGTGACGCATGCCTTTGTTTTTTGTTTCCAGTGTGATAGTTTGATTTAAGAAATGTTTATAGAAACAATTTTTAGACACTGTTAACTAAAAAAAGAATAAGGTGTATAATAACTTCATTTTGAATTCTAGATGTACAAAGCTGCCTTGAATATTCCACTCTGTTGCAAGCATGATTGCTCTGCATTTCAGAATATGAAAACAGTAGCATAATTTTGACTTCTGACATTTATTTTATTTCTAGGAACCCTAAGGATTCTGCAATATGAATAATTCTCTGGAAAACACCATTTCCTTTGAAGAGTACATCCGAGTAAAGGCGCGGTCTGTCCCGCAACACAGGATGAAGGAATTTCTGGACTCGCTAGCCTCTAAGGGGCCGGAAGCCCTTCAGGAGTTCCAGCAGACAGCTACCACTACCATGGTGTACCAACAGGGTGGGAACTGCATTTACACAGACAGCACCGAAGTGGCTGGGTCTTTGCTTGAACTTGCCTGTCCAGTCACCACCAGTGTTCAGCCACAAACCCAACAAGAACAGCAGATTCAGGTTCAGCAGCCACAGCAGGTTCAGGTAAAAGGGAGATGTTGAGGTGCATTCTGTTTAACAGATTCTGTTTCCATCAGGGTTTTGGTTAGTAGGAACATCACATTTTATATACAAATGTCCGAGGTTGTTTTCACAAAGGGGAGTACTCTGGTATTTTAAAAAACATTTTATTTAACATAAAGGCTTGCATAGTACAGACTAAAAATATTTGCGACTACCATAAACTAAAAAGACTACAGATACTTGCCATTTGCTTTGGAGAATTGAACAGTATAGGATTAGCGGTCTTCTGGGACTGGATTTGGATGTGACACAGCTGTGTGGAACTGAAGGTTCCCTTTTGTCTATGTCACCCTGAACAGATCAGGGGCAGAGGAGGGGCTCGTCTTAGCTCATTATTAAAGCATGACGTTTGAAACTTGTTTTAAAATGGATATGATATATTTTAGTGATCTTCATTTAGTTTTGTGGTTCCCTGACTTAGGTCACTTGTAGATTTCTAGGTCTGCATTTACTATTTGTAATCCTCAGGAAATAATGCTAATTGATAATGAGCTTACAGAAAGAGGAGAAACTTAGTACATTTGCTGAGAAGGTAAAAGTGCCGCTTTAGGGGTTCCTTATATGAAACTAACAGTATGCTCCATTTACAAATGCTGCTTTCTTGCTCCTGTCTATTGTGATTCTGTTTCATTCTGCCCTCACTGCTTTTTCCACCAAGAGAATTGGAAAGGGTAGAACCTCACGGACGGGCAAGGACTGTGGAGAGGTGTGTCTGATGAGATAGACTGTGGCCTCTTTGCTTCTTAGGAATGCAGGCAGGTATATTGGAAGGACCTTGGCTCTGGAGTAGGATTCCTGGTTTTAAATCTGGCTTGACCTCCTATTTGTTGACGTGATTTAAATCTTTTCAGCCCTAGATTTTTCAGCTGTTAAATTTAGTGAGACTGAATGAGATAATAGACAAGAAAACATTCGGCACGTGGAGAAACGCAGTCACTGTTTTTTCCTTTTTTTTTTTTTTTTAAAGATTTTATTTATTTGACACAGAGAGCACAAGCAGGGGGAGCAGCAGGCAGTGGGAGAGGGAGAAGCAGGCTTTTTGCTGAGCAGGGAGCATGATGCAGGTCTCAATCCCAGGACTCTGGGATCATGACCTGAGCTGAAGGCAGACTTAACCAACTGAGCCACCCAGGCACCCCTGTTTTTTCCATTCTTTGTAAGGAAGGAGGGGTCCAGGAAAGGTAGATAAGAGGAGGCTGACTTTTTGGTTTGAGAAATTATTCTGCTGTTACTTATAGCATGGACTTCGTTTTTCCTAAGATTAAAATGGTTTGGGATATGGGCGTCGACTGGCTAAATCCGTAGAGCATGCGATGCGACTCTTGATCTTGGGGTCTTGAGTTCAAGCCTCATGCTGGGCATAGAGTTCACTTTAAAAAAATAAAAGGGAAAAAATGGTTTGGTATTTGAGTCTAAAGTGTTGTTTGAGACTTTATGTTTAAGATGGCTGACTGAGGTCACCTATTAACATCTTCTTTCCTCAAAACCCCTGTAAATAAAAGAAGAAATATAAATATAATAATAAATCCATGAGATACAAGCACTGAGCATGGAGCTTGCTTAAGATTCTTTCTTTCCCTCTGCCACTCCCACCACTTGCGCTCTCTCTCTCTCACTTAAAAAAACAACAGAAAACTCTTAGAGCAAATATATTTTCATTAATTACTGGCTTAAGCCAGAGGGATTTAATTTTTCTACAAGTTGGCTTGTAGATTTAATTTAAATAAAGATTAAATTGATATTAATTAATGTTACTTACATGAAAATTGACATTTTCTTTTTTAAAGATTTTATTTATTTATTCGGAAGAGACAGAGACAGGCAGAGGGAGAAGCAGGCTTCCCGCTGAGTAGGGAGCCCGACGTGGGACTCAATCCCAGGACTCTGGGATCATGACCCGAGCCGAAGGCAGACGCTTAACGACTGAGCCACCCAGGCGCCCAAAAATTGACATTGTTAATCTAAAGCTACCAAAATCATGAGCCAGATAATATGACTGAAGATACAACTTTATATAAGACTTTGAAAAAAACTTTTTTTTTCTGAGTGACATCAGAATCAAATACATGCCTTGTAATTACAAAATTATGCAGGGGTGCCTGGGTGGCTCAGTTGGTTAAGCCTCCAACTCTTGATCTCAGCTCAGGTCTTGATCCTCAGGGTCGTGAGTTCAAGCCCAGCTTGAACGCTTAGCTCCATGCCCACTTAAAAAAAAAAACACAAAATTATACACGCGTCAGTTTCTTGATCTCTTTTATAGGTCTCTCTATATTCAGTTTAAAAGGATAGTTTTTTGTTTTTTTTTTTTAAGATTTTATTTATTTATTTGATAGAGAAAGAGAGCACAAGTAGGCAGAGCAGCAGGCAGAGGGCGAGGGAGAAGCAGGCTCTCTGCCCAGCAGGGAGCCAGACATGGGGCTCGATCCCAGGACCCTGGGATCGTGACCTGAGCCGAAGGCAGCCGCTTAACCAACTGAGCCACCCAGGTGCCCCAAAAGAATAGTTTTTGAAACTAAAAATAGCACATGAGGCATAGGGAGATCAAGTCCTGTATCAGTAAATACTGTTTGCACTCAAACTGTTTTAACTGGAGCCTGTGCTTCTAAATAGTGTTTCTAATACACAAAGAACTCTTAAAAGTAGAAAAAAGTAATCTAGTAAAAAAAAATGAACAAAGGATATAAGTAGTTTATGGAAGAGGAAACACGGGTGGTGATCATAAGCATATCAGATATTTCATACTACTGGTGATTATAGAAGTATAAATTTTAAAAGTGAAATATATTTCATTTATTAGATAGGAAAACATTTATAAAGATTTCACACAGGACAGCAAGGATATGGAGAGGATAAATTTGTAAGTTTGGGGCACCTGGGTGGCTCAGTCAGTTAAGCATCTGTCTTTGGCTCAGGTCATGATCCAAGGGTCCTGGGATCAAGCCCTGCATCTGGCTTCCTGCTTATTGGAGAGCCTGCGTCTCCCTCTCCCTCTGCCGCTTGTGTTCTTTCGTTTGCTCACTCTCTCAAATGAATAAACAAACTCTTTTTTAAAAAATGCAAAAAAAAATTAGTGTAACTTCTTAGAAGTGATTTTGGTAATACTTGTCAAATGTTTAAGTGTGCATACCTTTGGTCTTGCATTTGTGTTCACAGATATATGTGTATATAGGGGTATTCACTGCTGCACTAATAGTAGTAGTAATACTAGAAACAAGTCACTCAGTAAGGGAAATGGCAAAAATGGTACAATTGTAGTGTATTGTCCTATGTGCCAGAAGAATGAGGTAGATCTATGTATTTTTGACAGGGTAGGATGTTTAACAGATTGCTGAGTGTCAAAACCAGTTTAGTATCACTGATTTTTAACATGTAGAATGTAGTGGTCCTTAAATAGTAGTAAAGTTCAAAACAGTAATTGGCTCAGGAGTGGGGTGCTAAGGAGGAGAGCTCGAATTTTTGTTTGTTTGTTTATTTTTAAGTAGGCTCCATTCTGGGCTTAAATTTTTAAGTAAACATGAGGGGCTCCTGGATGTCTCAGTCAGTTGAGCATCTGACTCTTATTTTCAGCTCAGGTTATTGTCTCAGGTTTATGGGATCAAAGCTCTGCATTAGGCTCCCCACTTAGTGGGAGTCTGCTTCTCTCTCTCACTCTGCCTCTCCCCCTGCTCACATGTGCTCACTCTCTCTCTCTAAAAATAAATCTTTAAAAAAGAAAACATGAACTAATTTTGTGATGAAACAAAAGTGCTGTTTGGGAATATTTTGCTTTGAACTTGTAGGTATAGCTCAATGATTCTTTTTTTTTCTTTTATTATGTTAATCACAATACATTACATCATTAGTTTTTGGTGTAGTGTTCCATGATTCATTGTGTGCGTATAACACCCAGTGCTCCATTCAGTACATGCCCTCTTTAATACCCATCACCATGGTAACCCATCCTCCCACCCCCGTCCCCTCTAGAACCCTCAGTTTGTTTCTCAGAGTCCATAGTCTCTCATGGTTTGTCTCCCCCTCCGATTTCCGCCCCCTTCATTTTTCCCTTCCTACTTTTTTCTTTTTTTTTTTTTTTTTTTAACATATAATGTATTACTTGTTTCAGAGGTACAGGTCTGTGATTCAACAGTCTTACATAATCCACAGTTCTCACCATAGCACATACCCTCCCCAATGTCTATCACCCAGCCACCCCATCCCTCCCATCCCCATCCCTCCAGCAACCCTCAGTTTGTTTCCTGAGATTAAGAATTCCTCATATCAGTGAAATCATATGATACATGCCTTCCTCTGATTGACTTATTTTGCTCAGCATAATACCCTCCAGTTCCATCCATGTTGTTGCAAAAGGCAAGGTTTCATTTCTTTTGATGGCTGCATAATATTCCATTGTATATATATACTGCATCTTCTTTATCCATTCGTCTGTCAGTGGACATCTGGGCTCTTTCCATAGTTTGGCTATTGTGGACATTGCTGCTATAAACATAGGGGTGCATGTACCCCTTCGGATCACTACATTTGTTTCTTTGGGGTAAATACCCAGTAGTACAATTGCTGGGTTGTAGGGTAGCTCTATTTTCAACTTTCTGAGGAACCTCCATACTGTTTTCCAGCTTGCATTCCCACCAACAGTGTAGGAGGGTTCCCCTTTCTCTGCATCCCCGCCAACATGTTTCCTGACTTGTCCATTTTAGCCATTCTGACTGGTGTGAGGTGGTATCTCATTGAGGTTTAGATTTGGATTTCCCTGATGCCGAGCAATGTTGAGCACTTTTTCATGTGTCTGTTGGCCGTTTGGATGTCTTCTTTGGAAAAATGTCTGTTCGTGTCTTCTGCCCATTTCTTGATTGGATCATTTGTTCTTTGGATGTTGAGTTTGATAAGTTCTTTATAGATTTTGGATACTAGTAGGGCAATGATTCTTAACCTTTTCTTCCCTGTCCCAGACATCTTATGTCTCT